TATGCACCTTAACTTTGCCATAACATTAATACTCATGATGCATTTTTACATCTGTCATGCCAATTCTGTGTACCTATAAGTGCATGAAAGTATCGAAAATATATTGTTCTATAGCGGATGTCCTGATGGCTTTTATACAAACTATAGAATACCATGATGATGCAACACATGAATATAAAATAACACCAAAGGAAATGAGCAGAGCGGCACATCTTATCAGTGATTCGGTGCTACAGAACAGGACAGGTGTTCCTTATTCTGCAATGGAAAAACATTAGGATGACCTGGGTCCTGCCTCCACAGTTAGATTTTTTTTTCCCACTTGGATGTTTTGCAGCGGTTTCTGTTTTGTTAGCTGGAAAAATTCACACTACTGATGCACAACAGAACACCTGGATCACAATCACAGCACGAGTATTGGGGAAAAATCCATCAGAGACGCACAAAGGTGAAGGAACAGATGTAAAACAACCTGAAACCACCGTCATCACACAAAAAAGTGAAATATAACATTAAAAATTGTTAATAAATACATTCCAGAACAAGTTAAGTTGTGTAAAAAGACAAAAGAATAAACCTTTTTCCACATTTTCCAATGGAAATCTGAAAGGTGTGGCTTGCCAGTCAGATTAGACTGATGCCATCTGTTAATTACGGTGGCCCTGAAGTGCAAACTGCAACTACAAATCTAAAAGCGCAACTACATTAAGAAAAACAAAACTACATAAAGCAAAGCGCAACTACATTAAGAAAAACACAATTACATTAACTTACCGGAAAAGGTAGGTACCAGTGGGAAACATGAGACATCGCTGATTGGACGACGGCGCCGTTTGAACCGGAAGTCGTTCCGCCTGCTGCGGCTTTTGAAAACATGGATATTGTCGGCGCCCCAAACATAGCTGCCGTTATCCAGGAATATTTTGAATCAGGACATACGTACGAGGTGATACTGGAGATGCTCAAGACTAATCACGAAATTTCAGTTAGTTTGCGTACACTGAAGACACACTTAAAAGAAGCTGGACTGTTCAGACGACGCAACTTCCGGTTCAAGGGTCAAATGGCGCCGTCGTCCAATCTCATGTTTCCCACTGGTACCTACCTTTTCCGGTAGGTTAATGTAATTGTGTTTTCATTAATGTAGTTGCGCTTTGCTTAATGTAGTTTTGTTTTTCTTAATGTAGTTGCGCTTTTAGATTTGTAGTTGCGGTTTGCGCTTCAGGGCCACCGTAGTTAATAGATTGTAGCTCTAGTTGTATGTTTGGCGTTCCCAAACTGAACAGCATCTGCCTCAGTCTCCAATCTTCTTCAGCCTCCAACTGTTTTTCTTCCAGAATAATCCTGCATTTATCTGCTTTTATCCTCCCATCAACTCCCCAGCTTCCTTGATCCTTCAACAACAAAAAACTATTCCCACGGCATCATACCGCCACTTTTTCCATGGACCATGGAGAAGCTAAATAAGGGGGATATGAACTGTTTTTGGTTGGAGGGTTCAGTTTCGGGCTCATCTGACCGGTGCACCTTTTCTATACGTTTGTTGTGTTCCTATGATGCTTTTTAGCGCTTCCTTTTAACTGGTTTGTCTTTTGCCATCCTCCCAGCTTTGTAGAGTTCAGAGCTACAGTAATAACTGGCCTGTTGACAGATTCTTTCACCTGAGCTGTTGATTTCCGTGGCTACCCCAGAAAAGGCCCATCAGCTTGTGGCTGCTTCTCTGGTTAATCAGTTTAGATGGATGACAACGTCTTTGTTGGCTTGTTTTAATCCAACTCAGCCATTCTAGACTCAATTTACAAGGGGAGGGGGGACAGGATGGAGACAGTGTTTTTCGTGGGAGCACAGAACAAAAGAATACCAAATGGACAGGAAAAAAAACAGGGCAAAAGTGCATCATTTAGTACATTAAGTGAGCATTAAGCCTAGATTTAAAGACTCCTGATCTAACAGATGAAAGCTGGGATCCTATTTTGAAAGACTGAAGCTTAAAGCTAACTGCAATTTTGAAACAACTGTTTAAGTAAATAGTAAAGGTGAGATCTAACAATTGTTCCAAGGGGCGAATCAGATCAGTCTCCTCACAACCATGCACACACACTCACACCTAAGGACAATGTTAGAAAAGCCAATTAACCTAACAGTCATGTTTTTGGACTATGGGAGGAAGCCGGAGTACCCAGAGAGAACCCACGCATGCTCATGGAGAACAGGCAAACTCCACGCAGAAACACCTCAGGCCGGGACACTACAACTACAACATTATCTGGGTGGGCCCAGATAATGCGAAGTACAACATGTGATAAAGGATCTGGATACGGTGACAATTCCATAAATCGGCCAAGAAGATACATTTACGCAATTCTCACTAGTATATGATCACACACGGAAAAATAGTGACTGTGCATTTGAATGGAACCATTGGTGAAACCGCACCACCACGTTACAGGTCAGGGAGATGCTTATCGAACAGCAGAAAGAAGGATTTTATTTTGGAAAGTTATTTCCGTTCTTCCAGCAGCTCTTTCCTTTTTCTTTTCTAGAATCCGCTTAAGTACCTTTTTGGTATCCATCGTCGCTAACACATTGTACGTACCGGTTATGGTTTTAATCTACACTCTGGGTTATCCATAATTCCAAGTTGTAGAGTAAAAAATAAAATACTCAAATACATAGTTCTTTTAAGATCTTTATTGCAATATGAGTGTATTTTTTACCAACTGTCTAATGAACTATACACAGTTATTAACATAGTAATTAAAAGTACCACTGTCTGCTTTGCTATTGGTGTCGTGTTTAAACGGTTTACCATCATGTTGAAATCTGGCATGTGTTAGGGTAAAAATATGGTCAGGTGCGTCTGTCCCTTCAGTATCAGAGGAATTGAGAGGAATTTTTTGGACCATTGAATATGCAAAAAGACGTCCTAGTCTACAGTTGCGTAGGGGGCCTACCAGGTGTCAGTGATGGGGCCCCTAAGAGGTTGTGGACCACTAAGCAAATGCTGTCTCTGCTTACCGATATTTACGCCATTGAAAGTATAGTTTGTCTTTATTTTAAAAATATGGATGTTTTGCTTGTTAATTTTCCCGTTGGAACACTGTAGATTGACCCTGAGGTTCTGATGCCTATCCGCTTTCGCCCATCCCTCGGTGTACATTGATTATTGCCTGGCCACCCTTATAAAAATGTTCTGCCTACGCCTCTGTCTGCAGAAGGGGGGGGGGGGGGGGGGGGGGGGGGGGGGGGGGGGGGATATATCTGCATTAACTGCGACACACATGCAAACAACCTGGTTTATGAGCATAAACCAGGCTTTAGGTTCCTAAACCTCTGAGGCCTTCATAGAGCCTCCCTGTAAGAGCCAATTTGAGACAAATTCATTTATAGCTTTAAAAAGGGTTAAAATACAAGATTGATAATTTTGTTTGATGTTAAGATTCTAAGTTTAAAAACCCTAATATTAAAAGCATAGAATATAGAAATGCAATTTGAAATGCATATTTTTGGGCTTCTGTAATTGTATATGTGTTCTTTACGTACTGTAGGTAAGGACTGAGGGAAAAACAGATATGCTGGAAGCAACACAGTTTTTGACCGAGTTTATTTTATACGAATGTGGATGTTCTCTTATTTTTGTTTTCTTTTAATAAACATCACAAGTTGAAGAACATTATCTGGAATTGCTCGCGTTTCAATATTAGTTGCTAGACTGTTTTTCCATGCGGTACAGAAGAAAGTAAAGGAGCTGGAGTGCTTCTACACTCCCTTTGCATGGTTTTCAACCATGACAGAATATTTCAAACCATCTCTGATTAGAAATGGTCAGAGGTGTCAGGTAAAGTACAAATACCTCTTTACTGTACTTACGTACACTTTTTAGGTATCTATACTTTACTCCATTACTTATTTTTCTTCCTACTTCTGACTTCTACTCATTACATTTTCACACAAGTATCTGTACTTTCTATTCCTAACATTTTTAAAACAAACGTTACTCGTTACTCTTTGCTTCGGTTTAATGTTTATAGATATTTATTTCCCGTCATGTGCGCCATTGAATGCAGATCATTGGCTCCATCCACATCTAGTGAAAACTAGTGTGATTGGATGAGTCAAATAACGCAAACACTCATTGGTTAGCTAAAGGAAATCGTCAGAAGCAAGCAGGAGTTCTATAAACTGCAAACGTGAATTGTCTATGCTATGCTACAATGTAGGATTCAGAAAAAGATGCTAAAATGTCTGAAAGGTCGGAAACAGGCGAGAACGTATCGGGAGATAGAGACCAACAAGACCTCCCTCATCCTTGGCCCTATCTCAAAGAATTTTTTGAAATAGTCGAAACATTTAGCTTTCGATTCATATAGCAGCATCTGCTGTTTTTTTTTGTTTTTTTTTCAAAGGTTACTTTATACTTTTATACTTTAAGTAGTTTTTGGAGCACATACTTTTTCACTTTTACTTGAGTAAAGAGGTCAAGTTTATACTTCAACTTTTACCAGTGTTTTTAAACTGCAGTATCTATACTTCTACTTAAGTAACAAATGTGTGAACTTTTTATACCAGTGGAAATTGTTTTAACTAGCTGATAGCTGTGTCATCTTTTGAGGCAAATAAGTTTTTATGGCTTATTTCTTTATTACATATCTATTATGCAAGCTAGAAATGTGTCCAGTGAGGCAGCGCAGAATAAAAGATAAACATGTTAGGTGGATTCTAATAAAACAGGAAAGTCTGCAGCCTGAACCGGATGCCGGACTGTTTGTGTAACATTTGTCTAATTTAGGGAAACTAACGTTTCTGCCAGGAGCTTTGCCCAGTCATGCCCTTTTTTTCCAGAAAGGAGAAAAAATGAAGGAGGGGGGGGGGGCACGGTCACGTGGGTTAGCTACAGCCCGTGCAGCGCGTTTTGATTGGCCTAGCCGCCGCAGGCCCGCCCCCTTCTGATAGGCTGTCCCTCGTGACGTCACCCGATCAGCTGTTTGAGCCCCACAACAACAACAAAAGAAGTCGCAGTTGAGGGAGAGAGGAGGAAACGGGACTGAAAAGAGAAATAGACGATCGGCCTCACTGTGACTGCCCGTAAAATACTCCTTTAAAAAAAAAAAAAAGTTATTTCTTCTGCGAAGAAACTTCAAGTTTTGTCTTTTTTTCTATTTTTCGAAAAACGAATACCTCCGTTTTAAGGATTTTGGTCGTTTACATCTCCTGCTGCTCCGTCTGCCGCAGGTGGGTTCTTTGTTTTCCTCCTGATCGACATTAACACCTCTGCTGCCTTTTAATCCTAATCCTAATCACATTTATCGCATGCATGTTTGCAGACACACTTCTTTCTTTATCAGATTAGATTATTTTACTGAGTTTTTAATGTATTAATGCTTTTCTTGTCGTTTGCTCAAACCTCACGGTCCTTTTTAACATTTAAATAAAGCTTCAGCAGCTCTGATTTAGCTTAGAAATCATGTTTTTATGCATTAATGATGAACAGGTTGGATGTTTTTGTTGTTTTGTAAAAAAAAAAAAAAAACATTTAATTAAATAATTCAGAAGATAAAACGTCTTGAGCAGGCGGCCCAGTCCGGGTATAGAATTACAGTCTCCTCCTCTTCCTCTTGTTTAACCATGAAAAGTGCTGCTGCTCCATATTATCTCCAGGCCAGTTTATTTTCCCCCTGCTGACTGGTGGACAAATCACATTAACAGCCACTGGGAGCCGATTATTTCTGCTGCACAACAGATACTGAACAGTAATAATGCACATTATTATTTCTTTTTGCGTGCGTGTGGTGCAGAATAATTAACCTGCTTTTCTTAAGGTTTTATTGCCTACTGCAATAAAACTCTAAATAAATGTCCAAACAGCATCAACTAGTAATAGTTAACAGTTTTTACAGTTTTATTTGGTCTGTCTTGAAGTGTTTTAGAGGCTATAAATCCATGTTTGTAACTAAAAATGCTTAATCTGTGTTCTTTCCCCCTCTATCTCTGATTATGGCACATCCTTTGTGGCTCTTTCATAATCCCTGCAGCCTATAACCCCCCTAATCTAGATATATGATAAACCCCAAATATGGGCAAATTTAACATTATTTAAAAAAACTGAACAAGGATAAGCTTTGTTTGTATAAAGCTCGGAGTGAGCTCACTTCTAACTATTTTCATGCATTTGATAATAAATATAGCTCTTTTCAGGAAGGATGGGTGTGAAACAGGTGCAGAGCAGGATTATCAGCCTGCTGTTAAAGATGGCGGATGGTTCAAAAGCTTCGCTTGCTGTTCGTCAACTGGATGTTCTTCAAATGCAGCAGACCTTCGATTTTTCCTTGTGTAATCAAATTTAGACAAGTGACTGGGAATTACGATTATTCAGGAGAGGCTTTTAACGCACCACGGTCGATCTATTCTACATAATGGTGGGACGCTTTCAATTGCACGAAGAAAAGATCGGAAATTTGGGATTTTGCATTGTTTGCTGCCTTAAAGTCGACAGTTCTTCCGTTCAGACGCGTTTCCTCCTATTTTTCCCACCAAAGCACTTAAAGTATTCCTTGATAGTTGAGTTTTCAAGTACACCGTGTGTAATAAAATATCTATGTTAGGTTATACATTTAAAAGATAAAGCTAACCAAAACTCCAGTCATTTACAAAGTGACCAAAATCTTGATTAGAGGCTTTTTGTTTTGTTTTGTTTTTTACATCTATTTAAGCATCTTTTCACATTAAACAAATTTTTTTTCAGTTAGTGATAACGTCAAATTGGCTTCAAGCATCATTAGCAGCTAAACTGAAAATTTATCAAATCAACATTTGCAGGAAATCAGCTGACTAGATAAAGTTTTCACTTTATTAATTTTTTTCTGAAGTTCCAGTTCCTAATTGATGACATAAAGGCGACACTGAATTACATCATATTGCTACAACATCCTGGAATTTAATAAAAAATAACCTGCTTAGACTAGCTTTAGATTTTTTTCCCCAGAACTTTATTGACAGCTGTAAATTAATATATAACTTAGAGATGTATTACATGTAAGTTAAAATGAGTAAATTAATTATTTTGGTTGATTTCTTTTTTTCTGCTTTTCCATTAGTAGTCCAATGTGCTTTAAGATTTTTTTTATTTATTTTTTTTTTTTTGCAAAATAATTTTATGCAGATAATACTTTGCTAAAATGATGATTAGATTAATTTTCCATTGGCTGTTAAACTGAGATTAATGACTATAAGAATTATTTGGAGTTTGCTCAGAAAGTTTTTTTTTTTTTTTTTTTTGCATGCAGGAACCCCCACTGTCAACCATAATGAGCTATTTCGTTAGCTATAGCATAAAATCCAATTAGTTGAATGTGTTAGGGGTGTTGCTGTATTCACAAGCTTTTCTATTTATGCAACTATTCATCGAGCGGACTGGAAAAAAAATTTATCTATATACATTATTATTATCCCTTTCAGAGGCAACATAAAGACTTGACATTCATTATCAATTTCCTTCATATTTCAAAGGTTTTTATTAATACAGATCCCTATTTTCACAGCTAGACAGATGGAAAAGTATGCTTTTAATATTAAACAGTGCAAAATAATACAAAAGCATGTGTTAAAAGGTCAGCTTATTGTTCTGTTAAATCTCCCAGTGCTTTACCAGTGGGTGTCATTACTCCCAGCAGCTGCAGTGGGACACAGACACACTTTTCATTTTCTCTGCTTTCCAAATGTGAAGTCCAGAGTGCAGGCTGCCAGCCAGCTCTATCTGCTTCTATCTCAGCTGCTCTGACAGCACATGCATGGTAATACACTTTATAGCCTCACGCAGAATAGTAACCAAACAGTCGACAAAGTTTCTGTTGGTTTTTCCTGTTTTTAATGCCGTTTAGGCGCAATGAAATGATTGTGGGCAGATAAAGCCAGCAGCTCTAAATGTTTACAATCAGAGAATGATAAATAAACTGCAGATTATAGTTATGGAAAAAGATTTCTCTGCAGATCTGGATGTTTTTCCCTAAACATGAACCAAAAGGTCAGAGAAGGAGAAAGTCTTGTGTTAAAATTCATATTTGAGATTTATTTTGACAAAGAAAGTAGTGACGGGTTTTGAGGCTGGTTGAGGTTAAGTCTTTATAGTTAGCTGAGTGCGCGCTGGGCTTGATAGGGTTACGTGTAATTTAATAATTACCCGGCGAGCTGCGTAGTCTCTGCTTTCATAATCCTCACCTGACCCATTTTTTGGTGAACATAAAACCTCTCCCTTTTAGATCAAGGAAAATCTCTGGTTTCTGTGTGTCTGTTCACCCATTTTTGCAGCAGATTTAGGTTAATCTGTTAAACCGTTCTAACTAGATGAATTATTTTCTCCATCACTACATAAGTAATAATCAGTATTAAACTTTTATTTCCTCAGGGCTCTTTCTTTACTTTTTGCACTCGACGTTGAGCAATGTCCAGCATGTCTGTGCTGAACCTCAGATGATCCATGACCACACCCTGTTGAAGCACTTTAGCACCTTTCTGGAGCCTCTACCTGCTGTGAACCCTGCAGCTGATGACCAAAAAGACCGCTCCCTCTCCCCGCCGTCGCCCAGAGCTACGCTCCGCCCTCAGCCTCACTCGCCTTCAGGACGTCCCGGCATGTTCCAGAGGTTCGCCAGCACTCTGTTTGGAGACACAGATGATGCGCTGAGTCGACGCAGCCAATCCGGAGACAGCAAAGAGGAAGAGGAGGAAGACTGGATCCTAGTGAACTATCTGAGTAAGCCTGATACACTGATGTAGCCGTCAGAGGTTTGAATAACCTCAAAATGGGCAAAAATTTTATTAATATCAGAGATGCACTGATCCAGTTTCTTCCGATCCAAGTCGATACGATACCTGGGCTCGGTATCGGCTGATATCTGATACCGATCCAATTCAGCTGTTGAATTTAAAAAAAACATATTCCTTGCCATGTGAAAGAAGGCTTTATTCTCGACATAAACATTGTTAAAAATGCTAACTTTGGCTACGTTCACACTGCAGGCCTTAATGCTCAATTCAGATTTCTTTGTGAAATCCGATTCTTTTGCACGGTCGTTTACATTTTCAAATACAGTGAACCCTCACTATAACGCGGTTCACTTTTCACGGTCTCGCTGCTTCACGGATTTGCATCATGCATTGTTAAACTTTATTGTCGAACATATTAATGGTGGCATGTCGGTTTATAAGGATCTTTTGGCCCAGAAGAAAAAAGAGCGACAACAACTACCGATAACTATGTTCTTATCTCCAAAAAACACACACCTTCACCGCAGGCTTTAGAACAGAGATGGCAAAAGTACTCACTTTCCGTACTTGAGTAAAAGTACAGATACTTGTGTTAAAAAATACTCTGGTAAAAGTGGAAGTACTGATTAAACTTCTTTACTCAAGTAAAAGTAACAAAGTACAGGCTTGTAAATTTACTTAAAGTATAAAAGTAAAAGTACAAACCACTTCTTTCATGCCGTTGCCTACATTTTAAATGGATGTCTGCGAATAGGACTAGATCTATGTTGTGTTCATTTTCAATCATCTCGTCGTCCATGCTACTATGCTAACGCCACCGCCACCAAGCTGCAATGATTTGCCGCCAATGAATACCGTCGAATCTGTCGATTCATCTTGTAGTGGTGCCTCAAATGCAACGTAGATTCCCATCCAATTAGATTGAATTTGGTATTGATGACGTGAAAAATAATAACGGTAACTCCATTGAAATGATTCAAAACTAAAGTAACGAGCCAATTTTTTAAAATGTAAGGAGTAGAAACTACAGATATTTGTGTAAAAATGTTAGGAGTAGAAGTAAAAAGTCGCCATAAAAATAAGTAGTAAAGTAAAGTAAAAATATCAGAAAAATCTACTTGAGTACAGTAATGAAGTATTTGTACTTAGTTACTTCCCATCTCTGTTTTAGAAGGATGCAGCGGCTCCGTCAGAACAGCAGTGAAATACTGTACTGTACACGTCAGTCACTATTTGTCCTACTCTACTTTGTATTTTTTTTCATAATCATTTTTAATTTTCTCCCGTTCCAATCCGTCATGGCGGGGCGGTGCTGATCCCTGCAATATAAAGCCTTCATTTCGTATTGATGATTAAAATTATTACTTATTTATTGATAACTATATTATTTTACAGTACAGTACAGTAGTTGTTTGTAAAAAAAAAAAAAAAAAAAAAAAAACAGACAACAACTACGTTTATACCGTACTTTTATTTGTTTAAAAAATGCTTGGGCCTGTAAAAAGTTTTTGTTCCTTGATTTCAATGTTGTATGGAGTATTTCATTGTATAATAACTTAAAAAAAGGTTTCTACTTCACGGCTTTCACCTATCGCGGGTTCTTTTAGGCCCCGTCCACACGAAGTCAAAACGAACACGAAACGCTAATATTTTCCAGAACGTTTGTCGTAACGACGGAGACGTAAAATAAATGTGATCGTCCACACGAATGCATGAAAACGCTGCAAAATGTATGCCAGGCCTATAAGTGGCGCTGTGGTGCCAAAGCAAAAATAGGCGACGAAATGTTGGGCATGCGCACTAATATTTATACATGGTTGCCCTGCGGGTCCATTTTCGTGGTTCAGTCAAATTCAGGTGCTGAACTATGTGGTCGATATTGCTCTGTTCTTCCTGGAGATATTCCAGAAGAAGAAGATTCTGTTGTAAGCCCGACAGCAGGGTGAGGAGCATGAGCAGCAACCATTCAACACAGTACGGCGCCATTGTTGTTGTGATACTGTGTCGTGCATGCTTGTTTAGAGGCGACGCTATGACGCATGCGTGAAGGGAAAAAAATGCGGTTAGAGCTTAAAGATGGAAACGCGAAAACGGCGTTTCAAAATCTTCCCACTCTGAAGGCTTAATAAAAAAAAGATCGTTTACAGACCCCCAAAACGCCGGCTTCGTATGGATGAGAGGCTGGTTTGGTGAAAAATTTGTGCGTTTAGGCCAGGGTTTGGCTTCGTGTGGACGGGGCCTAAGGAACGTAACCCCCGCGATAAACGAGGGTTCACTGTTAACTAAATTCATACAACTTAAGTGTCCCGCATGCACAGTTGAGGACGCAATGACCTCACAAAAGAGCGTGCTCTGTGTTTATGGCAGTAAACATGGATGGTAGTGAAAAAAGATTTTTCTCCACATAATCATCTGCCATGGTTGTTTTTCTTCTCTCTGTTGTGTAGCAAGACGCAGAATAGATACCATTGTCGATTATTAATGACAGGTCGGAAGAATGCGAACTGGCCGTTCAGAAACAGGTCGCATTGGAAAAAAATCATATCTGTTTTGTTCAGAGTGCCATGAAAACATCAGATAAAGGGTCGAATATTGCAAAAAATTGCCTTTGTGTCACTTCAGGCTACAAGAAAGAAGAGACAGTTCCATGTAAAGTGAACAGATATCAAATTACCGATATCTGCTAATTCCGATCCAGGTTTTTAGAATCGGTGCATCTCTAATTAATTCTAAGCTTTTCATGAACCGTTTAAGCTAGAAAAGTAGATTTTCTGAATCCTTGTAGATTTTTACAGCCTGAAGCATTAATTTTATTAATACTAAACATGTTTAAATTAAATGAATTAAGGAAAGATCAGATGCACGTTTTGTATTTTAGCCCCCAGTGGTTTTTGTGGGATTGTTGTAGTTGGAACATTTATTATCAAGACCCTCATTAAATTCTAGTCTTTCTTTTATGATTTATGTTGTGACAGCCCAGCTTTAACCTGCAGCTCAGTGTAATCTAATGAGAGGATCAGGTGTGACAAACCTTTTTATTTCTCCTTCCCATTAAGGTTGTGAGATAGCTAAGGCCATGAAAGTTAACCCAGTCTGAGACAAGGGATAGCTGTCGCTTAGACTGAAAGAATTTTTTAGATACTTTTTATGGTTTGCCTTCAGCGCTTGTTTGTTATCAACTATCATTGCTGGGTCTGAACGTTTTCTCAATACACAGCCCTGTTGGACTTTCAAAATAAGACTCCAGGGACCCTACAATATAAAAGCCTTTAGGTTATACTCATGCATTAATTGATGCAAATGGCTCAACATTATGACCCAAACTCAACAGGTTGTTTCTATTAGACTCTAGCGACCTTTTCAAAACACACCCCAGAGCAAATTTCACAATAAAAGTCTCCCATTTACACTCTAATACAGGATTTATTCACCTAATAACATGGAAAACCAGTGATTTAACATTTGTAAATGGATTCTATATCAGTGCTGTGCATGATAGGGATGCACGATACAATCGGCCCCCTATCGGTATCGGCCTTAAAACTGAATATCGGCCACCCCACCTATATTTAACCCGATATTTGATCAGCTTCTGAGTTTCTAAAGTCTAAAAAAAAAAAAATACTACTTCTTCTTCTTCCTCGAAAACTTCTTTTTTACAGACTTAAAAACTTCTAAAGACGAGGGGAAAAATATTGATACATTAAAATATCACAATATCTTCATATGCTGATATATTGCCATTTAAAAACACCATATCAATCTCTTTTACTAATGAAATATTGCTATATGTCATCGTTATGCTACAAAATACGAAATGTTGCCATATTTTTATATGTTGATATATTGACGCGGTATCGATCTATTTTACTAACAAAATCTCACAAGAATTTGCAAAATATCACGAGAGTTTGTAACAGAACGATGAAATTTCACGAGATTTTGAAAGTAAAATAGATCGATACCGCGTTTTTAAAAATCAATTTGATATCAGCGTATGAAAATATATTTGAGTATATTATTTTTTAAAGTGTCAGAAATGGATAACAAAACTGCTATTTTCAATGACTACTTATTTTTGTCCAGCTTTAACATCGGTATCGATATCGGTTATCGGCTACATGAGTTTTAAAATATCGGCATATTGGATATCGGCCAAAATCCCAATATCGTGCATCGCTAGTGCATGGCCCATCTTTATGTTGTGCTCGCTTATTTTCTTGTTATGATGTGATTCGTGTAGATTGATCCTGGAGTTTTTTGCCGCCTGTTTTCAGCCATCTCTTAGTGCACATTTGTCCCTGCCTGGACATCCATTGACACAAAAACAACTTCTCCATCAAGAAGTGTCATTTCTACCTGAAATTGTTTTTTTTTCAGGTTCCATTATATGTAAATGTTTTAACCTGTTGATATAAATATTTACTTCTGGTTATGATTTTTGAAGATTGGTTCAGACAGCAAACGTTCTGACACGGAGCAGCAGGCTGGAGATGCGTTTAACTTTAGCTTTTAGCACGTCGAAGTCCGGCCAAGTTTCCAGAGCCGAAAACTGATCCCAGTCCAAACAGACTGGGAAACCCGGACAGGCAACATGCCGCAGTGGGTCTGAGTGGGCAGCTTTACCTTAGTTCACCGCCTCGACTCGACCTGACGGGTCTCCAATTCTGCAGCCGTGTGAATATTTGAGGCCGGGGGGTATTTAGCATCAGGCAGTTAATGGAGAAGTCGGGCTGTAAACAGGCCAAACAAAAAGGAGATAAAAATAGATCCTGGTAGTTTTATCTTCAATGACATGTGGGGTTTGTGAGTTGCTGCTTAAAGTGGAAATTTTATACCACTTTTCATGATGCGTTTCCACATATGAGAATCCGATATTAACAGACATTAACATTCACCCTGAATACACATGGTAGTGGCAGCATCATGCTGTGGGGGGCAGGATGGAGAGATGCATAGAGCTAGATGCAGATACAGGAAGAAGAGCTGTTAGATAATCCTTTTATCTTGTTAAATACGACTCGATTTGAAGGCAGTGAGGAAATGCAGGCCTGAGAGGTTAAATTTGCACGTGAAACTTTTGTTTCCATTTATGTCAACAGTGTGAAAGTCCAGGAAAAACATGGACATGTGAATACAGTTCGAGTATAGTTAGCTCTTTGCCCAAACCATCGCCTGCAGACTCCGAGCATGTCTTTGTTTGCAGAGAAGAGGGAGTTATTGGCAGGTCGGAGAGTTCATTGGTTAGCCAGGCTGACCTCATTAACCCAGCATAGATCCGAACAAAACCATGCATGACCGCCGGTCTCACTGGTGATGGTCCTTTCAGTCTTAAAGCAGATCTGCACCTTTTCCTGGAGGCATCTGCAGGAATGCAGACAAAGGTTGTCTGTGCATCAGATGTTTGACACAGAGTCAAACGCTCTGCAGCTTCTCTGTTCTGCTGCTTGTAAACAAGAATGCCCCCATGAACCCTGAGGGGTGGGGTTAACATCATGTGTGGAAATAAGCTCCAAACGTTCGCCTGCAAGCTTCGAGACGCCAGCAGGGGAAACAATGGAGATGTGACGCCTTGTCTGGTTATGTACTCCGGGGTCAAATATCACGTATTTACAGTTTTTATTTAAGCGATGAGGTGAAAAAAGCCTCGGACTCAAACCAAACCATCTGCTGCGGCGACAGTTATTTTTAACATCCAGCCTGCTTGCATTAGATCATGTTTCCACCTCACAACTTCCTGATTCTTCAGTCAATCATTAGAAGAAAAACAAGTCTGTTCTGCAGCTCTTGGCAGGCTTCCACGTCTGCACATCTGGGAGCTAAACGTCTCGTCGGTGCATTAGCGGCTGATTTAAGAGCATAAGAACGCTCAGAGTGTCCTTATTGGATGCAGCTTACTGAGGAAACAGGGATCTGGTAGGATGGAGCCGCTTTAAGACTCTGAGCTGTGGTGGCATGCAGCCCCCTGGAATGAGAAGACAAAACGACATATTTTAACAGAATGCACATGCAATTTTGGCATTTTCTCCATTTTGGCCATAAAATCTTATTTGTAAGTCATTTCCAGTTTGGAGCAAGTTCCAAAATGTAATCTATTTCATAATACAAGCTACATTCTTGTAGCCGTATTCTTGCCTTCTTCTTTTAATGTTATAAAACTCTCTTATCCTCAAATAAAACAAATTCCCTCTCTTTATTTAAACTTTAGGTTCTTTTTTGAAACATAATGTTGCCAAAATATAGTTTGTAATGCATTATATAACTGTATTACTGACTGAAGGTAATTTTTAACTGCTAAGCTTTGCTTTTATAACTCGTTACCCCCAACACCGATCCTGAGCTCTGCAAATCTTACGACGACGGAATACATATTCCCTAATTCAGAACCCTCCAAAACAAGAAGTTTTCCTGGAAATTTAATTTAATCAAACAACATAAAAATGCCTAAATGATTAATTTGTTTATCATTTGTAGCAAAAATAGACAGAATCTTAAGCTTATTTGAAAATGACCCGTACTCTTTCCTGTCTTCAGTAATAAAATATTCCTTTTTATCAATATAGGGGGAAAAATCTTCCCTTCAACAGTTTTGATGCTAACTTTACATCTTCAGCTGCTGCTGCAGTAAAGAAAGTCGCTTTTATGGTTTTCCTTCTCCTCTTTTCTTCATCCTGCAGTGTAATTTTTTCTTTTTTTCCTCTTTGTCCCGTTTGTTTTCATATTTTGCTGCTTTCTCCCTGGATCATTTTCTCCAAATGTGCAGAAAAATTGACTGATATGTCCTTTCTAATAGGATTTTTATTGAGATGATTTTAAAAAAAATTACTAATGTGTGCAAACAATTAATAACTGTATTAACCATACATCTAAAGGGATTATATGGGGCCTTCAAGCTCCTAGTTTTGCCTAATGGTGACTTCGCTCTTTACTGCGTCTGTTTTTGAAGCAGAAATGTTTTCAGGTTGTGGTTTCATGTCAGGGAGGAGCTGTTGCTCTGCAGGCCCTTTGTTTACATGTGGAGGAGTTTCATTAGCTGCATGGACGGCACACAGCGCCACCTGCTGAAAGAATAGTGTAGCTTCACTGTTAAATTATGTAAAGTCTCCTTCCATAGAAAAAAACAGTTTGATGTTTTAAGGTTTGTGATATCATTGATTTAAATAATCTGTAAAAAACAACAAAAACAAAAAAACAAAACTTTCTGAATCTTTTTTCCTCAGATTTTACTGAACCTTTGAGTGAATTAATGACTTCTCTCCTCTGCAGCCGAAGCGTGCTCTGGCCGTTGTGGCGACGGCCTCTCCGGCTCCACTGTCGGCCCTCATGAAGATGAAGACGAGGAAGAGGAGGACCTGGTGATGATCCCCTCTCCGATGGCCAGCCCCGCTATCCGCTACCCGTCCTGCACCTCCCTCAACTCCACGGCCGACACCGACCTGGACGGCGGCGCAGAGGATGAGGAAGACGAGGAGGAGGAGGGCGGTTTCCTGCGCGTGGACGCCCGCTCCCTGGAGGAGAGCTGGTTCGTCACCCCTCCGCCCTGCTTCACCGGCCACGGCGGCCAGCCGGTCCTCCTGGAGACCAGCCCTCTGGAGAACCTGCTAATCGAACACCCCAGCATGTCCGTCTACGCCCACCGCAGCCCCCAGCGGCTCGACCCAGACATGGACTTCCTGTCCGGCAGTGCGTCTGCAAACCAATCAGCTGCGGGTGGAAAAGAGAAGACAAGGCCCATACTGGACGGACCTCGTCACAGGTAACCTTTAGCTCCACTGGCACCTGCATCAGGAGGTCTTAAAACTTCAGTCTCTACCTGCTGTGAGCTCCTCTGGCTCCAGATCTCATTAAGTCATAATCTAATTCTCCTTTTCAGAACAATCAGTAATGATGTACATTTAGATTAAGAATAAGTAAACAACTAAGTCACTTTTTCTAAATGGATTTAATCCAACTTCTTACTGAAAGGAAAGGTTTGAATTGAAAAGGCTTCCTGGATAGGAAGTGAAATATATTTAAAGTTGGAAACATTTTAGGAAAGCCTGAAAGTAAAAACCTTCAGGAATGATTCCTTCATCCTTTTATTTCTACATCTCATCTACTCTTTGTGTCATTTCCGCCCCTGCAGACCCGAGGCTGCGGTGGTTCAGCGCCGCTCCAGCCTGCACTCCACCTGCTACGCCGCGACGCTCTCCGCCCACGCCGGAGTTCTGCAGCAGCGGCCGGGGAACGTCGCCCAACGCACCCAGGTGCTGTCACGTAAGGCCCTGCGACGCCTCAACCTGCTGCGCGCCGCCAAGGGCAGCACGCTCCACCTCCACCTGCACCAGCCCACCCAGAGGCACCTCAACTTCTGAGGGGACCTCGGGTCGCCCCCCCAGAACCCTCATAACAGATCTCGATATGAACCGGCCAATCACAAACTCCAATTACTTCACGCTCTTTAAAACAAGCACCAGCAAGTAGGCGGTGACCTCGCCGTGACCCTTTGGATCCGTTTGGATCCAATCCTACAGGAAAAAGGAAATATGGCCGACCGTTTTATTTGTTTATTAGGTCCTTTGGCCAGTAAAGACTTCCCCTCCTTCGCCTCTCAACCTCCACTTTATCCTTTCTGCTGAAAAGGAGGGATGTTGAAAAAGATCATCATGTATAACCCCCCCCCCCTTTACCAAACTGTCCTGTTTCTGATTTATATCCAATCTGAGAAAGAAAGGAGTCAAAATGACGCGTTTCTCACTTTCTTTTATTCTGCTCTAAACAGGCAACGCTGTAGGTCACTTTATTCAGAGGCAGGTTCACAGCGGGGCAGGATGGTCCGGTGGTGATATTTCAGGGACTCACAGGGTGGTGAGCTGCCTGCAAGCTGATCAGCCAACCTGGTCAAGGCAGCAGGAGACGTTGCAGATCCTAAATCACTTGAATATGTACAAAGCAGCAGCAGATGGCCTCCGTCCTGTCACTTCAGATCTGTCAGGACGGAGCTTTGAGCAGAGCTCCAACAGGAAAACCAATCCTTAAAGGTGCTTTCAGCTCATTTTATCTCATTTTTTTTTTACCATCAGCTGGTCTTTTAAAAGGAGGCAGGATGCATCCAAATGTTTGGGTAAAATAATTTCAGTTAATGTTCATGAAATATTTGGCTGAAGTTTAATTTCACATATATTCAATTATTTTTCAGGTTAATACTCGGCTAGCCTGAAGGAGCTCCACTAAAACACCACAGCTAACTAAGCTAACAGCTGTTGCTAGGCAACCAAGCCGGCCTTTAGCTGATCACATATGTTTCTGTTTATATAGATTGAATTTAGGATGAATAAATTTATCAGAAACGTGGTTGTCAGATTCCAAAACATGCAGGGAAATAGTTTAGTTTAGCTGCAGTACAGCACCCCCTGGTGGCTAAGGTTACAGTGTTGCTTAAAGATGAAACCATAAATATTTATTATGAAACCCCCCCCCCCCCAAATAACTCAACTTCTTTGAAGGAAAAGTCCAGTCAGCAAGAAATAACCTTATTGTTTATTTCTACAAGTAATACGTTTGCGATGATTTAATGAATTTAGCATTGATCAGTTAAAAAAATTACATTTTCATCGAGATCACCGAGTCTGGGAGCGGCCATTTTTGCCCAAATATAGTAACCCTTCCCTCCTGCCATCTTCCAGCAGGGATGCACGGTGCGGTAAGCCTAGCGCCATTCTCCCCGCTTTACAAGCAAAATCAATGGGAACTACTAGACACATCTGCAATCAACAACAATTATTGAAGATTTCCAGAGGACTTCACCATTGAAATTCACCAGAGCTAGTTAGTTAAACTGGCAATGCCCACATGCATTGCGGTTGGATGTTTTAATACATTGGGTAAAAGTGAAAAAAAGTTAGTTATTTCACCTTTTTTATTCATGATCCACCATGGACAGGTCGGATTGGTCGTTGGATTGCCAACTTGAACAGGGAGGATTTGCCCCTCGCCATTAACACGTCATTAATCCGTTACTCTCTGCTTCGCATAGTGCACTGGTCATCACTATCATGGATAATAGCGCATTGTGACAAACACCAGATACAGCACTGGGACTTGATCGACAGCCGATACCGTGACGTCACAAACCAGTAGGTGGCAGTAGTGTTCTTTGACAAACGTGGATGCCTCCAGTAAAGCACATTCAAATGAAAATTACTCTCTGTGTTTCATAGGGATTCTACAATTAACAGAAGTGCTAAAATATTCTAGATTTCAATTAATTGGTCGCATGCACAGAAAAAAAGTTTCCAAGATGTTAAAGGAAAAGTCCGGTCAGCAAGGAAAAATCAAAGAATTATTACTTATACCTAAAACTAATATGTTCGTGGTGATTTAATGAGTTTAGCCTTAATCAGTAAAAAAATAATAATTTCCATTGCGATCACTGAGTCTGGGAGCGGCCATTTTTGCCCAAATATAGTAACCCCTCCCTCCTGCCATCTTCCAGCAGTGACGTCACAGTGCGGTAAGCCTAGCGCCATTCTCCCCGCTTTACAAGCAAAATCAATGGGAACTACTAGACACATCTGCAATCAACAACAATTATTGAAGATTTTCAGAGGACCTCACCATTGAAATTCACCAGAGCTATAGTGAAACTGATAATGCCCACGTGCATGGCAGCTGGATGTTGTAATACATCGGGTAAAAGTGAAAAAAAGTTAGTTATTTCACCTTTCTTATTCATGATCCACCATGGACAGGTTGGATTGGTCGTTGGATTGCCAACTTGAACATTAATCCGTTACTCTCTGCTTTGCATAGTGCACTGGCCGTCACTATCATGAATAATAGCGCATTGTGACAAACACCACATACAGCACTGGGACTTGATCGACAGCCGATGCCGCACCATCACGTCACAAACCAGTAGGTGGCAGTAGTGTTCTTTGACAAACGTGGATGCCTCCAGTAAAGCACATTCAAATGAAATTACTCTTAGTTAAAAACACTTAACATTTATAGAAAAGTATGTAATAATTTCATATTTAAAGTACTTACAGAAGTTTGTATTCTGAATGTGATCAGAACTTTTCCTTTAAATCGCTAGCAGCGTTAAACCTTCCTGTTAGCTCTTAAATACGGAGCACTCACTGGCTGGAAAGAGATTTGGTTACATTGTGGTTTCTGATCAGCTGATTTCAGTTGACAGATGCTTCCTTTCAGTGCATTTCCTGTTTTGTTTCTTGTTTTGAAGAGGAATCACTAAAATATTTTAATATTTTGCCAGTAATCAAAAAACAGAATACCATCAGAATGATGCGTTCACACGTTCGCCCTGTGAAACCGTAGACCGTTGTAACTGAAAACCGAAAAACAGAACAGAGAGTTTTAACAAAATAAGCCTGAAATTCACCCCCCTGTACTGCAGCTCCTTTCCTTTTCACTCTGATGAAAGATGATCAGTCATTTTACTCACATGATCTCAGGTTTTCTCTGTGTTTCTACTTTTTTTTTTTTATCATTCTAGTTAAATGCAGGTAGGATTTTATCGTTCAGAGAAATTCGTCTCATAAATGTTCTGCTTTTTAAAAATTTTTATCACCACTATTTTAGCTCAGTTAGGAGCTTCCTGCTGTGCCTACCGAACCTGCTTCTGACTTTCAATTCAATACTTTCCACTATATTTTTTTGGAAGTAAATAAAAAGCAGTTAAAATGACTGGGTTAAATATCACTAAATGCCTTGTTGTTATGGTAGCTTTCAGATGAATATAAATGTAAGATAAATATACTTACAAATTAGTCCTTTGAGAAGAGAAAAAAATCGAATTACATATCAGTATGAAGTTGTACGCATCTATGGATTCTTGCTGTGGTATGTTTGGTGATGAGTATGCTGTCTGTTGCATGGTTGTGATGTGTTTGTATCACGATGTTGGGAGAAAAAAAAAAGAGACGATAACAGAAAAAGGACTTTGTTTATTTTCATGTTTGTTCTGAAATAAATCTGCAGTCCACTTCTCAGGGTCACAACCAATCACCTTTTACACTTTAGGAAAATGCAGATTTACTTGACGGCTGATGATTCTGTTAACGTGTTCGGACTTTTTCTCCAGCTCTGCAGCGCGTGTGAGAAATAATTACCTGTTCGCTTCGTGTCGCAAAAGCTTCTCTTATTCACAGGTTTGCAGAAAATTTTTTAAAAAAGCAAAATGTCGCCCAATTTTGGGAATCTTATCAAGAAACAGAGAAGCAGGCTTTTAAAAGATGTTGATTATTTTTTTCTAAGTGTACCAGACCTGGTTTTAGAAATGTACTTAATGTTTGTTCAGCATTTTTATTTCTCTTCTATAATAGTTACATTTTGTTCAGCTGATATTTAAACCAAAACAAAGTAGCGGCAATCTGTAATCTTTCACTACTGTTTAATACTTATGTTCCTTTTTATTTAACCTTTGTAAAATGTCTGTTAAAACCAGTTTGGCTGAAATAGAGGATGTTTTCTTGCTTTAATGCGTCACTGTGAGGAAAGCCGAGACCAGACTGAGATCTCACACTGCAGAAAATAACCTTTAAAGAAAGTCTATCACTGCAAAAAGAAAATATAAAGTGAAAGTTGTTGCTTTTTTATTCCTATTACAGATTTAAGAGTTAATGTGTCAAAATCATGATGTTTAACATCTTATAATGTGTTTGTGTCTAATTTGTTGAAGTCAATTACATGTTATACCTTTGCATCTTGGAGAATATTTGATTTTGCTTACAAAAAAAAAATCAAAATGTACTTTTGAATGTTTAGTTTCAATCAAAACGGAGCAAATGTTTTCTCTTTTTTTTTAAGATTTAAATCTAGCGAACCCGTGAAACTGTTTTTGCAGTGTGGTGAAGGATCTCTGGTCGTTTTGATAGAAGTGTAGCATCAATTGTTGAGCGTTTCCATGGTTTCCTGTAAATATTACAATGGTGGACTTTACCTTTAGCCTATGTAAGCTTGTCTTTTAGATCTACACTCTCTAACTCTTTACTTTTTAACCGCTGAGTTCACTTTCAGTGTAATTTTGTGTTACTGCAATGCTTTTTATGAAGACAAGTTAAAAGAAAAAGGGATTGGAGTCCATGTTAAAGGCTCCCCCTGCTGGCAGAAGCCTGCAATGTTTCATCTGTGTTTGAATCTTTGTTCTCTGCTCCTCTTTTTATTACCAAACTAACAGGGATTTCTAGTATTTTTGTTCAATGCCTTGAAAATGTTGTGGATCACGTGCCTTCCAGGTTGAGATGTAATGACAATGCATCAATGAAGAACTTGAACTCTTTATTATTATTTTTTTCTATGTTCCCATTTGGACGTAATGAATTAAAACACAAACGGACGCCTGAAACAAACTATGCATCGCTCTGATGAAGCCACCATCCGCTCTGCCTGAGTACAACTTTTTATTATGATTCAACAAACCAGACCGAATGATGATGTAGCAAACCTTTTTTTTTTTCTTTATTATTTTAAGTGTGAAAAAATATCTTGTGGCATTTTTTTTGTTTCTCACCAAGTGTTAGACATGTTTGTTTTTTGTCTAGTTTACTGGAATATTACAGCACTTTGCCAAAAAGGAAAAAAAAAGTAGGACTTTTAGGACTTAACGTTTTATTTATCGATATAACTGTAATCCTTCTTTGTATCTTGGATGTATAACAGATCAATTTACTCTGTTTTGACATCTGAAATGTAAAAAAAA